CCTACACCTGCGGCTAACACTGTCCAGCACTGGAATACCCCGTGCGACGGCAGCCCGAGGATGCGTTCAGAGGAAAATCTTTGCATTCCGTACAGCTTCCCGGTTACAATTCCCAAAGCTGAAAGCAACCAGGAAGAAAGGCTGTTTTAAGACAACTGGCTGTTCAGTATTCTGTGAAACCTGGAATGTATTTATTTTATTGCAGTTGTATTGGAGGTTGCTTCCTGTTCAGCTGTGTCGTTGGCTGGCGCATATTCATGAAATTGCAGGTCAAAATATGTGGAAAAATTCCTAAAGAAACAAAATACTCACCTGAGTTGTAGATGGAAAATTGAAATGGTCTAATAACACATATTTTTTTTTAGGCGAACCTAGGAGTTAAAGCTTTCTAGATGAAAACAGGAAGATAAAGGCTACTGTTGTGTCACGGCAAAGGTCACATAAGAGCAAATTGGTGATGGGGGAGTATTTATGCTCCTTTCCAAGGGCACATCTCTCCTTCCCCATATACTATCTCTTGCAGTTATTCAGCCCTTTATTAAGATGGTTTTTGTGTGTTTCATGAGGTAAATATATGATTTTTTTTTAATCACTAATATTTTGGCTGGTCTGGTGAGTTGAACTGGCTTGCGGAGGTGTTGGACAAGCACCAGAGCTAGCGTGCGTGAAGTGGTACGTGTGTGTTGGGGCCCAAGAACAGGAGGAGCGGGACCTTCCCGTGTCAGCAGCATTGAACTGTTAGAGCAGATCACCCCAGCCTGAGTTAGATTATCTGTTGCTTGTTAGAAGAAATAAAAAATTGGTATCGTTCTGTATGGATGCTTCTTTCCATCCAAATAGGTTTGTTAAGGACCAATGAAGGGAAGTATTTAACGAATCAGGACTTAAATACTGCTAGTAAGAAGTCAGGAAATTATTTTGGACTTAACAGTGTGCCACCACATTTCTCTCCGCATTTGTACGCCTTGTAGTTTGTTTCATTTCCCTTGTCTTCCATTTGAAAATAGCCCAGCATTCAGAAATCATCAAGAGCTTTGTTGAAAAGACTGAATTTTTCTGTGCTAGATAAGACAGAAAAACTGCTTCATAAAGGCAAGTTCAGGTGGCACCATCTCTTATCAGCAACAGTTCGTGTTATTCCAAGCTACTTACACTAACAGCACTCTGCAGAAAGTTTGCTAGTAGTTCTGAGGTTGAGGCCACGTTGTTTTGTTAGGATAAGTCCTCTTCACAGGGAACAGGGCTTATAACGTGACTGTGCTCATACGCTGCGGGGTGGAAGCGGAGAGAGGGTTATTCACAATGCCTACGAAATGCAGCCGTCTTGGCCAAATGCTAAAGGCCAAATAGGTCTCACCTTTCCCGAGTTCAGGTGATTCCTGTCTTCCCTCCTAGACTGTTTGTGTGCGACTCTGTCTTGCAGGGTCTGAAAGATGCTGCATGTCTCTGTTTCCTTTAATGGGAATAAAAAATGCCAAATATTCACCCAGCTGTGGAAAACAGCTCAGGTGCTGAGGTTTTATGACCCTGTTAGAGAACCCATAGTTAAATTTTGGTTGACGTCTTGTAGCAATGGAAGTTGCGCAGAAGGGTTTGAAAGCTCTTCTGAAGCTGATGGTGATTTTTATGTAGCAAAGGGGCTACGGCCTTGGCCTTCGGTTTTCATTTTTCCTTTTTTTTTTTTAGATTGATTTTGCAAAATTGTAAATTATTTTATAATCTTATAGCTATCCCAGCGTGAATCGTTATTATAAATAAATAGCATGTATTCATTTTTCCCCTCACTTTTCTTATCTGTAATTGCTCTTAGCATTCATTTGATAAAAGGGAAGGTAGTCTTGCACCCAGAATATATCTTTTTCTACTTTTTTCATAAATTCCATGTATATTTTCATACGTGATTTTTGCTTGACACCTAAATTGTAGCAGTCTGACTGAGCAGTCTTCCAGTTGCAAGCCTATAGTAAGGAACTGATGCGTGAGGAGGGTTGGGGAGGAGGAGAGAGGGAAAGATTAGAGGGGAGTTCAAGTTTCCACAAGATTATAATCACAGATGAGTGAAGAGCGAAGGCAGATGGAAAACAACTGAAAAGGTCATGCAAAAAAGGTAGTACCAAAGTACAGACACTTTGCTGTATGGAACGGTGTAGGTAGTACTGTTTGAATCATCTTTGTGCAGCTCAATTTTCAGACGCGTTATTACAAAGCTTTGGTGGAAGGCAAATAGCCGCAATCTTGTACTGATTTGTGCTTTCTCTGTTTGCAGGCTGAGGTGGAAGAAACACTGAAGCGAATTCAGAGCCAAAAAGGAGTGCAAGGAATCATTGTTGTTAATTCTGAAGGTACTGTGTCAGTCTCGGTTTTCTGAGATATAACTTGTTCTAAACATGCACTTTAAGGACCGCTGATTGGACTGCTTGCATTGAGATTACAGTCAGTCTTCAGCAAAGATTTTCCTGTAGCCAAAGCAGATAGACAATAGTTAGGCTGCAAGAGAAAACTGGATTCCCATTTCTGGTTTTCTGCAAGCTCACTTTATCATTTTAGGAAATAATGAAATAAATTAAAATAAATTGCAAAAGCTTAGAAATATTTGAGCTATGCCAATGTTTGAAACTGTGTTCTGTTAAAGCCTGACAATAGCACTAAAAGCTCTCATGACATCTGAAATCTTGCTGCTGTGCTTGTCCAGAATGCTGCTGTCTTGGCAGACTTGAGTAGCTTAGCAGCTGCCTTGTGCTCGTGGCCTCATGAGACTCATAAGCGAGTTGTCTCCTTTTGGAGTCATTGAAGGGTCCAAGAGAGCAGACTTGTTCAGAGTGCTCTAAAGACACTGTCAGCAGCCCAACTTCTTAAAACTGTGTGATTGTCAATTTAAATTGAATATTTCCTTGAAACAATCCTTAGAAAAGATGACAGATGGTAGCTGTATATGAATATATTGAAGATCAAATCACTGCGTACTTGCATGCAGCTTGCGTTCCTGCTCGCTGCTTTTTCGTGGTAGTGAATAATGGATCGTGCTCTCCAGGCTGAAGCTGCGCTTATTCGAACATACACCTGCAGTGGTTTTTCTGCCATGCCAGTATTTGGTAGTTGGCTGCTACATTGTTCTGACACGTGAGCTGAATTTTGGCTGGCTTTTTGTGGGAAAACATATCTCATGGGTGGCAGAAGTATAAGGGAGGGAAAGCTCGGGCCAAACAGAGTCAGTGTGTCTGCCCTCTTGGCTGGTGCACAGGAACTGAACCAGGGACCTCGCAGGACTGCATCCACTCTTATGGTTAAATGTTGGAGCCTCAGCTTTGTAACTGTGTGATGCAGCAGCTGATGTCCTCTATAATCAACACGGATCCCAGCCTAGCTTACTTGAATATCATTTAACGGTGATGTTCAGGAGCCTTTCTGAAAGGAAAAGCTGTCCGCAGTCAGGAGAACAAAAATGAAACATTGGTATTTCCTCTCTCCCCCCCAGATATTTATTTTTGTTATTATTTATTTCTATTTCTAAATCTCATAAATAAACAAATAAATGAAAAAGCAGAAGTAAAGCACTGATGCTACTAGAGGTAAACAGTTTTTCTCACCTACACCTGTGGTTCCAGGTTTTAGCCTTTCTGCATTTTATTTCTGTTCATGTTCTTCTTTTAAGCCTTAAAAAAGAACACTCCTAATCCCTGGTGTAGCGACAACATCTGCTTAGGTTAAATAGACACCTCAGTTAGACTTGGTGATGCCCAAGGCGGAGTTAGTTCTGGAGTGTTGTCACTGACCCTTGCTGTCCCGTGTTTCTTGCAGGTATTCCTATCAAAAGTACGATGGACAACTCCACAACGATTCAGTACGCGGGCCTCATGCACAGCTTCATCATGAAGGCAAGGAGCACCGTGCGAGACATTGATCCCCAGAATGACCTCACATTCCTGCGGATCCGCTCTAAGAAAAACGAAATCATGGTTGCGCCAGGTAAAAGCGAGTGGGGTGAAAGCAGGCATCAGGGAATCCAGCAGAATTCTTTTCTTGTGAGATTGACACTCTCAGCCTGAGAGAGTTCTGCCTGCTGCTTTTATTCATATTGTATAATCTCCTCTTTTCCAAGAAGCTGTTTTGCTTTCTTCAGAGTTGAAAGCTTTTATCATTGACCTAAGTTTGCTTTTTCATGTTTGAAGGTAGGAAACCACTCTCCTCATTTCATGTTGATCGAAGTAGAAAGTGTTAAATAGTGCTTGAGAGAGCGTGTTGCAGCCTCTCATGCTTTGTGTTTTTCAGTATAAAACCATGAGAGTTGGAAAGAAATATGTTTTGAGAGCAATTTCAGTTCAGCGCTGTAGACTAAGTGATAAAGCAAAACAGTCTAACAGATTTTCCAGTTCAGAGAAAAGTAATAGAGCATATTGTAGCTGTAATCACGAGTGTAGCAGCAGCAACCTTCTTGTCAGGAAACGTCCTCAGTATTTCAACAAATTACGAAATGGGAAGCAGTGAGATGAGTACAGTTCACTAATGTGGCAGGAACTCAGCTTTGTTCCTTCATACTGCATCGGCTCTGTGGTGGGACTGTGCTGATGGAGAGGCAAAGGAGGGGATTGCAGTTGCAGCAGACTGCTCCGCAGGGACTGGGCGAGGCAGATCTTGAGACAGGCTCTGGGGTTTATGCTGAGGCAGCCTCTGATTTCCATATGAAGGATGGAAAGAAAGGAATAAGCATTGCTCCAGAAAAATGCAGCTGCAGCCACTGCAGCACAGCAGTCGGCCTGTGAGATTCAGGGAAATGCACCACCTATTTTGATTCCATCATTGCATGTGCTACTTACTATTATTTCCTAGGCACATACTGAGTTAAATTCAGTTGGCTTGGGAGCATACAATTTCTAAAGCTGAGACTTTTTCTCAGTAAGACTCATAAAAATAAGTGATTGACGTGCCAAGCCTGTTTTGTTCATTGAGAATGAATGTCAGGACCCGATAGCTCCCACAGTGTATCGGCGAGGTATGAAAAAATGTTGAAATTTACTGTTGCTGTGAAGAAATACCAGCAATGAAAGAATAATTTTTTTTCTTCTTTTTCCAGATAAAGACTACTTCCTGATCGTCATCCAGAATCCAACTGAATGATTACACTGACTTGGTCTGGTTTTTTCCCTTTGCCCAGCTGTTTTTTTTAATTTAATGGTAAAGAATAGAGCATTAGTGTTAACTCTGCTGTGCCACTTCAATAATGTCTGGAAAAACAAAAGCAGGTGTTTTTGTTGTTTACAAACAGAAAAAGTGGCTTTTTTTTTTTGTATCACAAGTCGTTTTGAGGAAGAGTTGGTGAATTAGAATCAGGCAGTAAAAAATGCAACAGATTCTTTTAATAGTTAAGAAGATAATATAATGAAATTCTAATAACGTTCTAAAAAAGATTATTCTTTGTATGCTTCCGTGCTTCTGTCACCACTATTTGAGATATGCTTTTACACTATTACTTTTGAATAACTGTAAATATGAAACTTGCCTATCCTCTAGTTCTGTCTTACTTCGTTGGTTTTACAAGTTACTTTGAAAAAGTCTGGCCGTATCAAATTAAAAAGTGTCATCAGTGACTGTTTTTGCGTTATGTGTTTCCTTCTGAAGATTTTAATTATGATTGATTGAGTTTTTCTTCAAAAAACAGAAACTTCCTAGGACTGTTTTTACTCATCTGTTGTTTTCGCTGAACAGGGATTTAGTCTAAGTGCATGTGCAGTGTACTCATCACTGCCTCCTACGTTGGCGCATTTTCCTACCACTTTTTTTTTTCCAGACAGAGAAGTGGTGTGGCTAAGTGAGGCCATCAGGACTGCCTGTTGGAGCTCTCATGTGATCACAGTTCAGTAGCCAGTTTGATCTGGTGTCTTCCTTTAGTCATTTTCTATTGATGGCCGTTAAGGACAAAAAATGATCATCTGGTTCCTCCAAAATAATGAAGGGGTTATGTTTGTAGCCTTGCGAGAGCCTTGTAATTGCACGCAGAGCTCAAGAATTTGTGCAAAATGTCTGCATTGAAGATGTTCGTCACGTGTGTGACAGGCACGGCTCTGGCTTGTACTGAAGCGTCTTAGCGATGTGCAGAACATCACAGCCCAGATTCAGAAATGGTGCACGTTGTCTTGCACTGCGTTTTCTTTGCGTACCCAGGTAGCCCAATGCAGTTAACTGCTACAGCAGGGAGCGGTGCTCAGGGACCCTCCTTCCTTCCCCGGTCTCGTTTGTCCCACCGAGGAGGGGGGGCCTGCAGGTAGTGTGGCTGCCTGCTTCTGCTTCAGCCCCCTCACACGTCTGGCCTCACTGATTGTGACAGAAGTGTTTTACCAGCCTGAGAAGGAATGTCTCCCAAAGTGCACCTGAGGAAAGAGGCGCAGCCTACAGTCATAAAATTAAAGAAAGAACCTTAATTGAGTAACTGCAGTTTTATTAGGGGGTGCTGTTTCTTGTGCTGGTGAGAGATCGCTCCTGACTCACGTATCTGCAGAAGTGTATAACCCATGTTTAGCCCTGCTCTTTCAAAATTACAAGCAGTAGTAGGAACATGTGATACTGTCCAGTTCTACACCAAGGAACAGACTAAGAATTTATGGGTGATCTCGGCAGGTTAGGGGGTATTCCGGGCAATTGGCTGCAGTGTAGTTTTGGAGTCCTTAGTAAAAATGCCAGTGTTGACTTGGACACTTCCAGATTTCAGAGCACAAAGTGATGGGGTGGATATGCGGTGACTCAAAACAGCTAAGATAACCTGTATGTTCAGTGGTTGTTTTCTGTGCATTTTCAGATTTGGGCATGAATTTATAGACGGTGTCTAATTTTTTTTAGGTAGTGTTTATGACCATGAAGGTCAGAAATGCTTTTTGAGGCCTGTTAAGTGGTCAGTCCTGCAGCATCTGGGTGAGGGTGCTTTACAGTATTTTGGGTATCTCAGCTGTCATCATGATTGAGTGTTGGCTGTTACTCAGTTTACGAACTGTTTCTCCCATCAGCCTATGTCTGACCACACTACATGGGTGTAGCCCTGGGATCACATTTTGTGCCAAGAAGTGACTGTCGTAAACATCCATCTCCTAGTTGTAGAAAACTGACGGATAACTCGCACAGCATGTATTCACTGGCCCTTTTATTACTGAATCTTGGTTTAAGCCATGCCATCAAACCAACGAATAGGGTTTCTATGAACCCTACTCTGTGAACCGTCTGAAATCATGCTTTGCGTTTGGTGTAGTCCCTGATGCACAGCAGCTTATATAATGTGTGCGATCTGTCACTATTGAATGCTGTCTCCAAAAAAATGATCTCCAGCGAGCTGAAGTCTCTGGATAATAACTGAACAGTGAGGCGAGGCCGAAGAAAAAATGTGACTTCAGTCCTCTGTCTTTTGTTGTTCATAGCCAGAGAAAAGTTTCCTTGGAGGTGGTGACTTGCTTGTGTATTTTGGCTTTCCCTAGTAGCTGGCAGTGGTACTCGTTAGAACAGTGAAGAATTTCTTTAGTGTCCTGCATTCATTTGGGTACTTCCTTAAGGACAGCTGTCCTACCGGTGGTTTTGTGTCGTGTATCTGAGTTTGGGACAGAGAGTGTTGAGGTGGTTTGGGTTTTTGTTTGTTTGTTTGTTTTTTAAACAAGCTGTAACAAATAACCCTATTGCAAAACAAAGATTATGCTAATTTTCTGCATTGTGTTGAGACCATAAACTTGCAGTGAAATTACTGAGTTCCTGCTACATGCTGATTGATTGGGGGTTTGGAGGGGGGTTGGGGGTTGGTTTGGGGTTGGGTTTTCGTTTGTTTGTTTTTAAGGACCGTTAGCAGTCTGACTTGAAATATACTCAAGAATTTGAATAAAGGAGTCTTGAAGAAGCTGGTTTTGGAGTTTGGAGGAGCTTGTCAAATCCATCTGGTCAGGGCAGGGCCTTGCTTATGCCATGCTAGTGCTGCCTTGGCAGTAGTATTCGAAGTTAATTCACTTTTTTTTTAAAAAGGGGAGGGGTGGATGAAGCTGAACACCACCTTCCATTTAGATACTTACTATGGAGAAAAAGTGTCTTACTTGCATCGGGAGCATCAGAGGGTCACAGCGATCTGACCAGAAGCAATTCCTCTGTATGCAGGTTAGGGGAGGACTTCACTTTTCCTAAGTTATCTTAAAGAGGGTCAAGAAGGAGATGGGATGAAGCTCTGCTTCTTGTCCGGTGTTTGCTGAGTCTGGGCCTAGTCATTTTTATGGTAAAATTATTGTCAAATTGAGGAAGAATAGAAAAATAAGCGTTATGGTTCTAGTCCTTTATTCTAGCCAGAAGGCACGACGGGGTGGTTCACAGGAGGGCTTGAACAGCCTTTGTGATCTGTGCCTTAGAGCTGCTTTGTGTTGTAGTTGGAGACTGGCCTAATTTGCTGTCCTGGAGAAGTCAGTTTTGATGGATCCCTCTCTGAAGGCCAAGGAAGCATCTGCTGCTGAGATGTGGGAAACAAACTCTAATGTGTTAACAAGGCAATGAAATGAGTTTGAGGTATGGCTCTGGGCTGTGAACAGCAGCACTTGAGGCCCAAGGACGTGCTCTCTTGTGCCGACTCTGCTCCGAGATAAGGCTCTGGGAGAGGAATGGAGGTGATGGCGTACTAAGACTGCAAAAGCTAGGCTTGTAGAAACTCATCTTCTCTGGATCTTAGAGCAGCTCCTTTAAGCTGCTCCAGCGCCCTCCCAAGCACCTCGTCATCTGCCGGAGACGGCTGAGCTCCGACTGTGCAGTGCTCCTCTTCACCTATGCGAAAACCTATGTTTGATCTTGTCTTACCATTTTTGTTATGTATAGCTACATCTATAGGGGATGAAAGCCTGGCATAGGTAGGTACGCCAATACAGGCTGGCCTTGCGTTAGCAGAGCTAGAGCAGCTCGGTGAATCAGTGTAATCTGTAGGAAAAGCTGTGGCAGCTGGGGTGCGCAGGGGCAGCGAGCTCTGACAAACGCTGCCATGTCAGCAGAAGCCTGAGCATCAACACGATTTCTGTTGACAAAACTACACTTCCTTTACCAGAATGACAGGATTCCTTCAGGGAGCTTTCCCTCCCCTAGCGTGGTTTCGCAAGCATCCAGGGGTGCTTATTATCGGCGGTGTTTACCCTGTAGGAACGCTGGCACGCGTAAAGCTTGTTGTTGATCCTAGGTCACGTTAGGACAGCTTGCTGGCGCTGGGTTGGTAGAGCTGGTTCCTTCCATCTTCTTTAAACCTTTGACTGATCCAGGGTTTGTTGAATCTGAAGTGCACCTCCTTAAATAAGGAGTTTTGCCGATGACATCAGTAAGAACAGGCAAGAGAGGGATTAGCGTGTGCAAGGTTTTTCAGGAAAGCTGCGGGCTGAAGGAAGACGTGTATTAGAAGTAAAACTTCCTTGATCCACGTGCCATTTTTGTAAGTACGTTAACATGCTGAGAAGCTCCAGAGCTTCCGTGAACCCAGTGTCTTCTCTCCCGCTCTGGGTGTATGAATAATCTTCTATGGAGTTATGGCCCCAGTCCTGCAATGAGGTCTGCATGGGTAAAACCAGGGATCAAATCACTAAATTAGAAAGAGTTCCTCATGCCTCATCAAAAAAGGTTAACGCTTTATAACAATAGTAATAAAAAATCCTTTGCCTGAAGATGCAGTCTGTAAAGTTGATCAGCTTGCCATGTCTAATTCAGTATTAGTGCTTTCCCTTATGTATTTTCTGATTAAAAGGACCTATATCGGAAATGAGCGTCTCTACCTGTATCTTAATTATAGAAGTGAATCTGAAGAGTTTACCCTTCCTTACCAGTATGTGGTTAATTAACTACTGCTACTGCTTGGTCACGGAAAACCCAGGATGTTAGCCATGAAAGTAACTGTCTCCTTTCCTGGGTAAACTCTACAAGGAGAAAAGAATTTGTTTGATTGTAGTTAAATATATTTTTCTTTTAATTGGTGACACTTTTGATAATTGGAGCAGTTTTTTAATAGATGCATCTTTCATGCCTTTTTTTTTTTACCCAGGTTGGACTTAATCCTTTAACATTTTGTGTTCCCTTGTGTTTCACGCCAGTCCACTGTAAACAATGAAACATTGCTTCGGCAGAATACAGCTTTTGTTGCGGCATACATTGAGGAGGAATATTAAACGGGGTTCTTTGTGAAACGTTGACGTTCTGTTTGCAGTTGTTTTTTGATTCATTACAGAAATAGCCTGCCCTATTTGTAGTCGTGCTGCGGTCTTTAAAATATTCAACATAGCTGTGGCTGTGAATGCAGCAGGGAAAACAACAGCGTCGTTAGTTGAGAAATGATTGAGGTAGCCGTGGGAATTGTAGATACCTGATTATCTCTGTGAGATTAGTTTGCGTCCAGGTTTGCCGGCTGCCGAAGCTCCCAGGTGCCCCCGTG